TTATCATAAGTTCATAATCATATTACCAACGATTTAAATAATTTAATAATTTTTTTATTAAAATTAAAATATCCTAAATTCAAATTGTATTATATGTGAGTGAAAGTGAGACAAAAAAATACGAGAGAATTGTCTCTTATTATATAATCAAAATAAAAAAAAAAAAAAAAAAAGGTTCATAACCATATTATTTTCTCATTATGCTTGATGCACCAGCCCAATCGGCCAATGAGGTGGAGCTGTCGACTTGTGCGGCGGGAAGGAAACACACCAGACCGGAAGGGCCGGGACGGTGAACCTTGGGCCCCCACGTGGCATAACGGGAACGAATAGAAGGCCGTGATGTGACCACCACCATCACCGCTATCTTCACTAACCCCTGGCTTGCACCACCTAATGCACATTAATTATGAAAATTTTAATCAATCAAATTAATCACACATGTTTAGTTTTGGTTTCAGTTGATTTTACTTTCTGTGAAATCCAATCCATCCAACCCACTACCACAAATATAAAGGAACGTGGGAAAAATATGATTGTCATTGGTCGCAGATAAGTGCCTCAATCTGTTAGGATCATTGCACTTTTAATTTAAATTTTCAATCTCTTATTAATAAGGACTTTTTTTTTTGAAGTTTCAAAAAAGAGAAAATTGTGTTTCATAAAAAAAAACATTTTAATTATTAAAAACTTACTTTTATTTTAAAAGTTTTAAGGTTAAAATAAATTAAAAAATAATTATTTTCTCTTATATATATGACACATTTTTAATATCAGAAAAAAAAAATGAGGTGACTATATTATCGCACTTAGATATGAGTTTGTAGGCATGATGATTTTTTTATTAAAAAAAAGGGAAATTGAGGACTTTGAAAAGGGGGAAGATGATGGATAACAGGGTAGGACAAAAAGCCACGTGTCGTGGGCATGGAGAGGTGACCACCACTTTAAGGGTATGGGTTCTATCCAAACTGACCATTTTCTCAATCATGATGACAACGGATATTCACGCAGTGAGTTGAAAACTTTGTGCACGCAACCGTCCTGTTAAGAGATTCATTCACTATTTTTTAAGTGCCTGATGTGGATTGAATCCGAATTAATCGGAAAGAAACCTATATACCGAATAAGAAACTAAAAAAAAAACGGGATGATGACTCATTTTCATCTTCAACTTTATCAATCGCCGATATATAAGGATTTTTAAGAAAATGATTTATTGAATGTCAAAAATTACTTTTGTCCCGGTACTCATAAAAATTGATTGGTTCTTGCATGTATTCGAAGTTTTTATCAAATATTAAATATATAAAATTTAATTTTTTTTATAAATAAAAAAATTAAAAATTAAAATAATTCAAATAAATAAATATTTTAATATATAATGTAGCAAAACAATATTTAATAATCAATTATAGTAAATATATACTGTCATGTCTGTCTAACAAGTCCAATAATTGCTCACAAAAATAAAAAAATGCATGAACTGCAATATATATTGAGGTTTGGTTTGACTATTGAATTAAGTATGAGAAGACTAAAATTAAAAAGAAATTAGATTGGGTTGGATTAATCAATTAAATTGGATGGATAAAAATCAATTAGTAATATATTTATAAGAAATATATAAAAATAAATTTATATATTTTTATTATATATAGATTTTTATGGGGCTTCATAAAGTAGAAAAAATTCTGAAATTTCATTTTTTTAAAAATCCTTCATTCTCATCCCACAGAAAAAATTATTTTTGAAATCTTTATCCTTGCTGTGAGAATTTCCACGAAATTTCACCGATCTAGAGGAAATTACCATGACTATTCTTAGTCTTAAAGCACTTTCTATTTCTCTTTTTCTGGAAAATGATTTCCCTTGGAAAGGTTAATACTTGGTTACTGAATACGGATGGAACCCATAATTTAATTCTGCAAACAAGGAGCGCTGTGGCAGTATGATGACCGTGAGAAGGAAGAGCCCACGAAACTCACTGCAAAATCGAGCAACCACTTACTGCATCAGTCGGCAGGATTGTCAGCTCCCTCATTAAAAATTTGAAGCCCCATTGCACCGTACCGTCTCAATTCTTTTTTCGAAAGGATGTGACTTTGACTCTTGATAATCGCAAATGGGACCTGGAATTCTGGTTCTTGGATCTGAGTCGGCTTTGGATAATGTACCTCTTTAAAGTCAAGAGAGGCTGCAATTTCCAAGACCCTCCTCTCCTCTGAGTTAGTAGATTAATTTATCAACTTCTTTCTTGGGTACGTCGTTGGATTTCACGGAATTTGGGATATTTTCTCGATTCTTACCATCATCATTGGTCTTATTACTTGTAAAACTTATGAATTAAATTCATTCATTTGATGTTATCTAACTGCATTTTCACGATATTGCGAAATACACTCGTACCACGCGCCAATTGCTCGCTAGTCTAGCAATAATTTTTTACCTCTTACACAGTTTTGAATAAATTGATTAATTTTCTATCATTGCTCATTTTGGCAATGGTCTTGATATTTTCATTCATTACCCTGGATGAAAAATGTGTTTGGATTTTTATGTGAAAATAGTACAGGGTATAGCTTTCAATTGAGGGCTCGATGAAAGCTGACATTACTTGCTCCTTTTTTCAGACCTTAGTATTGAACACTGTCAGGCTTGGATGTTTGCCAGTGTTTGTATAAAAGTTGCATCTGAAACATATTCATTGATAGCTATGTCTCTGATGTACTTCTGTCATAAGAAATGTGAAAGGAAAATGTTGTGGCATGGTATGATGTGGTTGAGACTCTTGAGAAGGTTATTACAAGTTTTCAGAGAAGAGAAGTGGCTGGATGTGTATTTAATTGGCAATAACTTGGGTATTGAATGGGGACAAAATTCGCAGGTTGGCATGTGCAATTGGGTTTGTGAAATGTCTACTGACATTTACCCAATCTCGATTTTTATTAATTCGAAAATTTATCGTTTTTGTGGAATTGGTATGTAAAGGATAAAGGAGAGCTTACGTAACAACAAAATTTTTTTAAATATTGAATTGTATAATAGAAAGCAAGTTTCTGGCACCTGACCCTTGAAACTTAGTGGCAATAGTCACCTCGGTGCATTCTCACCTCCCCGGGCTGGGTTTGAAACCCATCCTTGCAAATATGTTCAAAAAAAAAAAAAAGGAAGTTTCTGTTATTTATTAATTTATTTATATATTATGTAACTCAACTTTAAAAATAATAATAATTTATTAGTTTGATTGAAATAAGTTTGATATTCCTTAAATGAGATCTCAAATTTGAGTTTTGTGAATAAAATAATAAATATCAAAAGAGTTTCCCTCTTATGAGATCTAACCTAATTTAATTTTAAATTTATCTAAATTTAATATAGTTATTAGATACAAAAAAATTAATATAACATACTTATGAATTGCATTTTTGAAAAATATATATATATATAACATACTTATAAATTGCTTCTTTTTTTTTTTTGAAACGTAGTTATGAATTGCTTTTAATTGCACTAAAAAAGTGAACTAATTATGGTCCAGGAAAGTGCACTCATAATACCATATGATTGCTATATTAAAAAAAAAGAAAGTACTTTTATAAAATAGTATTTAAGAATTTGTGTAAAAAATAATTATAAAAAAATAAAATTATTTTTTTTTGTCGTTTTCAGAAGATTCAAAATAAAAAGTTCTACTCTAAGTTTTTAGCTTCACCTTCTAAACTAAAATCAACTCTAAGAAAGTAAGACCAATCGGGCGGTGAGGTCTAATGGTTGGTTCTTAAGTCTTAGGGTTTGAGTTAGACGGAGGTCAGGATTTTAAATTTTGTCATTGCCGTAAACTTCATCAATTTATGATTTAATGACTGCGTGTCTCATTTAAAGGGGTGAAATGTTTACCATTTTGAGAAATTTCAGCTGTTAACAAAACTAACTCTACTAACTTTCTAATAATTATCCTTATCAAAAAAAAATTCTAAGAAAATAAGAAAAAAATAAAAAAAATTTACGCAGTTTCAAATTTTGCACGGCAGCTCCTTTTAAGAAGGTAGGCCAAACACAAACAAACAAGAACCAAAAAAACAAAACTGTGGTCAGTTGTTTGGTAAGCCGTGGGCCAAGAGGCTGACCAAACAGCCACAAAACCAGAGTTCGGTCTTTTTAATTTAACTAACCCTCTCCTAATATTTTTGGACTTTTATAATAGAAGTCATCTTCTATTGGTATTGAAAACATGTACCAAAATCGAAAGGTTAAACTTGTTAGTAAATAAATTTATTATTGATATTTAAGTTAAATTTATAAATTAAATTTAAAATAAACAATTTATTTTTTTTAACTACTTTGCCGTGTTTTGAGAAACGAACTCAAAATTTCTCTTAATACACTTTGACTAGTATAGTGGGAGGGCTGTTCATATCTTTTTGTCAACGGTAGGGATTTTCATATCTTTTGGGAGTTGGGACCCGAATTAGGCTATGGTGGGAGGAAGTAGTATATATCCTGAACGAAAATCATGTTTGGTCAACGTTATTATCAATAAAGATCACAAAACGAACAAACTTTTAATCAAGCACCAAACAATCAGGAAACCATCTTTCATTGTTGCAAAATTCAATTGGAGCAGAGATTGACCCACATCATAATCTTGTTTCTAAATTAAGTCATCCAATGGATATGCAGATCTATGGCCTCCCAAGCGCTCCTTTGTTAGGTAGCAGAGACATGGCTCGTGGGGAAAAAAAAATTCAGGCACATTCATATTCTGCCCTATTCGCATTAAGTCAATGATTTGACACTGAATTATATAGAATAATAATCATTAATCCAGAGATATTTCAAAAAGAGGAAGTAATCATAACAAAAACGGAAACTTTTGCATCCAATACCTTCTTTCTATTGGATTATACCGTATAATTAATAAATTATACAATAATAAATAATTTATCAATGAATTTAAATAAATTTTTATAATAAAAATAAAATATTTTTAAATTTAAGTGATAAATATATAAATGATATAAGAAAAAGGATTAGGGAAAGTTTAAATTGTCATTTTGAACTTAATTTCTACTTTTAAATTGGAAGTTATAGTTTAGTATTTAAAAGGATGTTAAAGGAATTTTTAAAAAAATCAATATTTATTATTATATATTCCATGTTACGATGTAATATCACTTTCATTTACACGAAACGCATGAATAAATATACCTTTTCTTCGTTTAATACATGATTATTGTCGAAATTTGTTGTCAATAAACGTCGTTAACTATAAAAGTCAGTTTAAATTAAGAGAATTATAGGAACATAATTAGAAAATTGATATACAATCAATCAATGTACAATGCTAGCGAAAATACCCGTACCGTAGTCGGCCGCATTGAAAATGGTAGGCAAAGAAAATCAACCGAAGCATTGTATTGCAATTAAAAATAATCAAATCGGTCCATCCATCGTCCATTATTACAGAAAACAATATTGAAAAGTTAATTTAAGTTAGTCAAGCTTTTCTCATGGCTCCAGAGCCAGGAGGAGGTGACGTTTGTCTGCATATAATCCCCCAACCCTCCCCTCTCCCCCCTCAGCCGCTATAAATACCACTGCTGCATTCTCATGACATAGCATTAACTGGGGTTTGGTTTGGGGTTTGCTCAGGGCTGCTTCCGAACTCAGGAGGGTGCTTAATCCCAGTTTTCTTCGTCGTATAGCACGGAAGAATCAGTCAAGCTCAGGAGGGATAGCGCCATGGAAATGATCTTTCTAAATCTCTCCTCATGATTTTGATCCTCCATAGCGCTATCCATCCTGAGTTTCATCGCTTCTTCTTGCTCCTCCCCTGTTCATCCTCTACAGAGAAATGCAGAGTCTTCTTCCTCTGTTTAACCGATGACGTCTGAGCTTCTCAATTTTCAACTTCATTTAAGATTTCATCTTTCAAGCTTTTTTTTTTTTGTTTATGCTACAAGTTTCTCTAAAGTTTCATTGATGGTTTTGTATGTACAATCTCAAGTTCTCTTTTTATGTACTCCAAAAATTTTCGATATGGAGGTTTCAGGTTTAAATCTATCAAACCGAGTTAACGATTCATGCTGATGCACCGAAAAAACGAAGATACGACCTCGATGGAGCCATTGAGGGATTTCTCCAGAAGGGCTGGACTAGATGATTTTGACTTCCTTGCTAAAACTTCGCGTTAGTCACGCTCTCTTTCTTTTATTTTTTCTTTTTAAATTAAAAAAAAAAAAAGAAGAAAAAGAAGAAGAGTGTACAACACAAAGAGAAAAATGCAATTGCATTTTGTAGAATGTACACTTACTTTCTGATATTTTGTTTTATATTCAGGTTTCTGTATCTCCACGCTCTCCTTTTTGCTTCCACTAGAAAATCACTGTTGGCTGGTGCGCATCCTGCATCCATATCCCTTTCTTTTCTTGTTTTATTTTTTGGACTATGTATCTTTAGTTGCAAGAGGAAAAAAAAAAATGTCAAATTTGTATTCAATCCCAGATAGAAATGTTTACTCACAATAGTCAAGAATGGTCAAACTCAGAAAGTGTTGTAAGCACTCTATAAACATTTCTGGTCTAGACTGACCTTTTTGGTTTTCCAATTTGGACTTATGTCGACAGGTATTTAATTATTGGTTCACTATCGAGGGGCTAGGGGCCATCTCCTAATCTTATAATTGATGTATTATAATGTTGTGTGGTTCGAATGGTAAAAAATATTTTCTGAGAGCCATGTTTCTAGTTTTGATCGAAGTAGTTTTTGCCTAAATTTTGAGGTGGAGCCCTTGTTTTTTTT